AAGAAATATTGCTATTTACTCTTTCTTTCACTGCAGCCCTACTTTTATATTATTAGATAGTTAAGTCAAAATTAAATTCACAACTATATATTAAAATGGTGGGTCTTTAAGAAATCAAAACTTATCTGTCTACATTTGGGAAAATGTAGACTTGGGCTTTCAAAGAAGGATGATAATCAAGAACTTGGAAATAATAACAGGATCACTGTAGGAAGTAGAACAAGATGCTGGGAGGACCTGCAAGAGGGACCTGGCTTGTAGGTGCTACTAACAAAATACCGACTATTGTCTTCCCATGATGTTTGTAGTCCTGTACTTCAGCAAGTGACATTGCTTAGAGAATGAAGTAGTAGTGCATGGTTCAAGTGGTCAAGATACTAAGAGATAAGAGACACAAGAATACTTTGGATTTCCGATCACACTATCTTCTTTGACTTGGTTGCTTCAGACAGCTGGTGGAAAGAAAACGTGTATCATTGAGCTTAGCCAGTTGGAAATGCTTTTAAGACACAAGCACCAGTTTACTAAGCATCATTTAAAGTACCTTCTCCAAGCGAGTCAGTATATAAGAAACACTGAACAATGAATTATATGTTTGTAATAAGATCACTGTATTTTGGTTATTGGTTTACACTTATGTTGTATGAACAAAAAGTATTGATAATGATATTATAGTCTGAACAATAAACAATACCCAGTAAAAATACAATAAAGATTTGTGTCATTTTTTTTTATGGTCAGTGATGAAACTAGGATCTGTACTGACTTTGAGGTACTCAAAGTCCCCACCCACTGTATCTGTGAACCTGAGGGCCCTGGGGTCACCATTAAACACGGAATACTGCGTGTTTCCTTCAATGGGGAGAGAGTGAATTAGATTTCACATTGACATCCATTGTCTCCTCTTGCATGGCATTATTAAGAAATTGTCCTGTATATTCAAGTAAGTTCAATAGAACTGGGAAAGACAGCCTTTTTGACCATTAACAAGAATTGTCAGGATGTAGGCATTTATTAACTTTTTAGTAGGCAGGCTACTGAATGAAACTGTATCTTCATTTTCTCATCTACAGACAGGATTCTGAGGAATAGTGTTAGAATGTGTAGCATGTATCCATGTTCTTTAGGTGCTAGGCTAGCAGCCCAGTGATTTCATTATTCTTTAATCAATGCTAACCATTCCTTATCGGTTTCATCTTGAAGCAAGACAAAGGGAAGCAGCAATATGCCATCATTTAAATCCTTGTAGTAGAACTCATGGATCATATTTGCATTCATAGATTTATGAAGCTTCACCTTAAGGTATTTTGAAAACAGGGAATGAGGATCATCTGCAGGGCTGGGTCTCTTAGACTTAACACAGCACAGAGAAAACAGTGTCTTCTCTGTGGGAGCCCTGGCAACACAAATCTTGAAAAAATGTTCCCGAAGTATTAAACACAAAATGATGCAAGTTGTAATCTATAGATTTTCTAGAAATCAAACATTTGCTCATAATAAGTTGTAAGCAAATGTATTTTAAACAATTTGATATATTTTTTGCACTTAAAAAAAAACAATGAATTACATGCTAGTGTAGCGAATCTTGTTTGAATATGTGATATGACATGATATATAGCATCGTCTAAGTTTTTTCACTGTGGAGCCTTTTACTTATTTCATTTCTTTATTCTCTCATTCAGTACATCCCTACTGCAGCCTCTGCTCCCTCTGCTGTCCCCAACCATCTTTTCTCTCCCCCCGATCCACTGCCCCTCAGTTTTCCTTCAGAAAAGAACAGGCCTCCCAGAAGTGTTGACTGAACGCTGTAAAACAATACGCAATAAGACTACACGGAAACCCCCATACCTAGGCTGGGTGAGGCAACCCAGTAAGAGGAAAAATGTCCCGCAGGCAGACAAGAGAGTGAGAGACACCCTCGCTCCCATTGTTAGGAGTCCAATAAAAATTCCAAGTCCAACAACCACAGCATGTACACAGAGACAGAAACCAGCCTGTGGCTTATATGAACCACACCGGTCCAAGCTTAGAGGGTTTATTTGTTGTTAAGCTGTTCAGCTGATGGCACGGAGGCAGCTGTAGTACATCCAGGGTGTCGGCTGCACAAGAGTCTATCTAAACTCACTGGCATGATTGCTGGCTGGACTCCTGATGTTTATACTAACAAGCTTAGCCCTTGACGGCTTGTTAGTCAAGCCCTTCTCCAGTTCCCCTTCAGATGTAGCTCAGCAAAGGAGAGCTTCCACCATGGCACTTGGGAATGTGAGACTTTAGAGAGTAATTGAGACACAGCTACTCTTTTTGGTAGTGAAAATGACATCGCATCCATCATCGTTGCCAACATCCTATTTCCTAGAAGGGAGTCACTTAGCTCAGCTGATTTCAAAGAAAGGCTCACCAAAGGCATGACCACGAGTGGATTGGAATCACCAGAGCCTTGCTCTCGGTGGGCAGGAGAGACTCATGCGTTGCACAAGCACAAAGCTTTCTCTCTCAGAATCCCAAAAGGTCCATTCTATCATGCTACCAAAGGTCTGAATTTCATAATATAAGTCAGGAACCATTTTAGTCTGTGTCTATCTCAGCCATATAGGTGAATGGGAAAAATACAGAATGATAAAAATTTTACTGTTTCAAAAATAATTATATGGATGCACTTCATTGCCAAGCATTGAATATTAATAGTAAAAGGTTTTAATGCATCATATACATTTTATAAAGATTTGCTCATTTCTTTTGTGCATGTATCTGTGTGCGTGCATGTACGCATGTGTGTGTGTGTGTGTGTGCATGTGAATTTTCGTATGCATGTGTGTGCGTGAACTGCACCATGTGCAAGCAGGTACACTGAGAGGCTATAACAAGACATGGGATCCCTAGGAACTGGAGTCACAAACAGTTGTGAGCACCCAGTGGGGGTGATGAGGAAGAAACCTGGGTCACCTGAAATAGGAGCAAGTTCTCTGAACTATTGAACCATCCTTGCATGACCTGAAATTTATGAATTTATTTAAAATGTTTGAAATTAATAAGCTCAATAATATAGCATACAGATTGCATTACAATTCAGCAAAATGAGTAGATTTTTGGCTACATATCAGTCAAATATACTCATACAAATGTACATTTTGGCACTGTAAATAAGCATAATTATTTCTAATTATGCCATTGCAAAGGCCGAATAAAATGTTATGGGAACATAAAGTCTACAATTTACTTATAGGAAAAGAAGAAATATCACTCTTGAACAGAGTATATAATTTTATTAAATCTTTCCAAATAAAACACTTTTATAAATATTATCATTTTTCCTCCTTAATATTTGTTTCCATTTATTAGAGCAAGCAATTTACCAATTCAAGCATCAAGGAAGGTAAACAAAAAATTAACTATTAATCTTTTCTTATTCCATTTATATAAGAACTATTGGAATTATTTTCTGTAAAACATATTTTTGTAGCCATGCTTGAAAATGATGTACTTCCAATAAGCTGGATATAGACTGTGCAAAAAAAAAAATCCATTTTTCCTGCCTCTTTTCCACTCTTAGAAAGCGACATAGGTGTGCCCATGGGATCCGGTTACTGCATGCTGTTTATGCAGCTGCACTTCATTGATCTTGGGCTCCTGTTACACAGTTTGTGATGGGAAGAAAAGGCTTTCAAAACAATGACAGACACAGATCTTTAACCTCCACCTTCACGGATTGTTTGTTCCACAATCACTTCTGTGGAGATTATCAGGCAGCAGCGACAGACTACCTTACTCCTCTCTGCCCCTGTATTTTGGGTGTGTTAGGATCAGTATTTAGAATCAAATATTGGTAGTCAATAAAAGAGACATGTTTATTTTAATCAAGGCTTATTATAAGTAGCAGGCTCTAAAATGTTTGATATTGAATTTTCTATGGAGAAAATGGTGTTTAAATTATTTTATAGGGCTCAGTTGGTAAATGCTTTACGAAACTTAGAAAATTTGTCAAATTTACTACATCTTAAACAACGTCCACATAACATCTCAAGCTACAAAGAAACAGCCCTTGCAAATATCTTATATGTAGTTATGTATATAATTAATAAGCCAGAAGTTTGGGCCCTACCCAGTTTCAAATAGTTTCACGTACTATGTCTGTACAGTGATAAAGGAACTTATGAAGAATTACTGCTAGTTTGTAAAAAATAATTCTTGAATGTCTTGGGTACAGTGAGTTTATTGGGAGTGATTAAATGATTAAAACAATTACCAAGCACAGTCTAAGTGCTTACCAGTGTTAAAGGAACACTTTTCCCTGCTTGACATGACAGCAGGCCTCGTGAGAGAGATCTTGACAACTCTTGATGCCATAAACTGTCTCCATTTGCTTTTCTCTTCTGAGGGCACATGGACGTCATGTGAAGTGGTGGACATCTTGGGCAGCCATGCGAAGAACCATGTACAATGAGTAGTGTGTGGATAACAAAGTATAATCCTAAAGATCAGCTTCAAATATTGTTACGATTTGCTTATTCCAACGGATAGCATTTGAGACATCTCAAAAGCCACCAGAAAATAATATGGTGTAATATATCATTATATCCTAATTTCTCCCATTGGAGAATTCGCCTTTAATTGGAAACATGGTATCACACACGAAAAACTCATCACTTTTCATCGGCTATGTTGCTGCATCACCGCACATTAGTTTTTATGATCTGTGATACAGCAAATGCTAGCAAAGCATACATTTTGGAAGTCATTTTATTTCAGTGGTGGTATATAATTTTGCCCCACATGATGTGTATATTTACTGGTTACACTTCAACTTCCATTTATTTATTATTTGTATTCTGTATGGTTCCAAAAATGCTCCAAGAGACCTCATTTTCATTATTATTTGGTTGGCTAGCCGCTTCTGAGATGTGCCAGGCTTTTCCTCTATTCTTACCGGAGCAAAGCACTTGGCTGAATGGAAACAGCTTTCTTCCCATTCTCATTCCTTGTTTTAATCATGTGTCTTGCAGAGATTAATATTATTTGGGCTGCACACCAGGCACACCACAGTTCTGAAGACTATAACTTAAGCACAGCACTGAGACAGTCTGTCTTGCAGCCATATACTTCGTGGGTAAGTTGTGGGAAATTGAATCAATGAGATAGAATCATTTGTTTTTTAAATCTCAAGTCTTTCTGCTTTTTCCTGTTAAGCTACGAGAGGATGTGTTCTAGGTGCTTCATTTTTCTCTAAATGACTTTTTCATTTCTTGAACACCAGACATATATGATATAAGTACTCTTTCCAGAATTACATTTTTGTTTGGTGTGAAAGTACTCCTCAAGACAGACAGCAATCTCAAAAAGTACCTGTCCATTATTAATATTTTTTTACATAATCTTAACCAGTAGGCAAATGTACATACAATGGGTTTTAGCTCAAATATGTTGATAGAAAAATTTTAGACATTCTGTTTTTATTTAAAATTTTTCCGTTTTTCAAATAGCTTGGAAAATTACCATGAAAGTTCACATGGTATAGGCCTGGTCTACAACATAATAATATTTAGGAGATTCAGAGTCCAAAGAATGTATTACTACATTTGGCATGCCACATGGGGTAACAAATTATGGTTGTTTTTTTTTTTTTTTTGGCTTAGTGGCTGCAAATGAATCTACTGATACTTTAAATGCCTTATGTTGCCCCATGGCTCCACAGTCAATGCCCTCCCAGCATCTCACCTACAGCTTAGAGATACTTCCTTTCCTATGGCCCCAGCTCTGTTATGGTTGAGATACATAGATTTAAACAAAGTCTTTATCACTTTCTTTACCAATAAATACTCAGAATTCAGATATGGCAGTAAAATTCTGATAGATCAGAGAGGCCGAGAAGTAACCAGATGACCTTCCTTTTTGACTGGAGACTCAGTAAAAGAGGCATCTCTCCACTGCTCCAAAACCAAAATAAGCACCAAGTCCCACCCTCTCCTTCTTGTGTGTCTCTCTTAATGAATTCCTGGCTCTTCTGGACCAAGACTCTCTATGGCTAATGCCAATCAACTAGATGTAGGCTCCAACTCCTGAAACAAGTTTGCTTTTATTCAATTACAATCCAAGTGAAAAGAGTCAGTCATGGTTGGAAAATTATGTAAGCACGAGTGGGAAGCTGCTGGTCACACTGCTTTGGCTGGCAAGGAGGAAGATAGTAAATAGGAAGTGAGTCACATGAGTGATTTCACAACTCTCCGCAACAGCAAGACCAGCTGGGTAGCTAATGTTTGGACACAGGTGCATATAGTATATGCTTCAAATTGAAATCCCAAGTGTGCTCTTGAATTAGATCAAGCAGTGAAGTAAAATATAGTTTAATAATTCCTCTAACTTTCAAGAACAAATACAATGTTAAAGGAGTCATAGATCAAATATGAATAAATTAGTACACTGACCATTTATGGTCAAGAATGAAGAGACAAGTAAATTAATAACAACAACCTATGAGAAATCTGAGAAGGAAATATAAGAAATTACTCAAATAGTCAAAAGAAATATTGTAGATTTTTAAGATTAACAATATAAAGCCTTTAAAAAGCAATAAAAAATAATAATATTTAGGAGACTGACACCCTTTCAGATTTGGTCTACTTGAAAGTCTACCATATACATCAGTTGGAGATACTTCCTTGGAGGTATAATCAGGTTTCAGTTGCTTCTTTTTGCTTTTTGTTTGAAGAGGTGATTGGTAAAGATCACAGACATGCATGCTCTTGAAATTCATAATGAGGTGCCATAGAAAAAAGGGTATCCTCACTATACTTTCTACATTTGCAATATCTAAACTAATGGATTAACTAAGCTTCTTTTTAGAGATGAGTTCTGCTCTTGGAATTCTTGGTAGTGATTTCATATCATTGAAGTACTCTCTGTGGGTAAGAGATATGTTTCTAGGAACTATAATATATAGGAACTATAGTAATTTGACCTTTATAATATATAGAAACTATAGTAATTTGATCCTAAGATTATGGAATTAAGTCTGCATTTATATTTCAGAGAAAATAAAGAACAGTATAGATGAATTCATCTATGCATTTATGTAGCCCAGAAGAGTATAAATTAACTCATTCAGCATGGTGCCTGCACAATTGATTCTTGTATCTATGTTACAAGTCTTTACTACCATTAATGATCTTTCTTCAGTTATTATCGATTTTGATCTTGTTAATTAGTACATAGTTTTTTTTTTCTATGTCTAACATTATCCAGAAGTCGAAGTTCAATGAGGTTGGTTATATGTTGCAGAGAGAGACTGCTTGTTATTCCCAGCCTTCCAGAACCAAAATAATCACACAGAAACTATATCATTTAAACCACTGTTTGAATCATTAGCTCTATCTTCTTATTGGCTAACTCTTATGTCTTAAATTCACCCATCTCCATTAATCCGTGAATCACCACGAGGTCATGGTCTACCAGCAAAATTTCAGCACATTTGTCTTTGGCATCAGCTCCATGGTTTCTAGTCAACTCTGCCTCCTTTCTCCCAGCATTCAGCCTGACTTTCCCTGCCTACCTCAATTCCCTGTGCAGGCAGGTCCAAGACAGTTTCTTTATTAACCAATGGTATTCACAACATAGAGAGAGGAATCCCACATCAGTTATATATATAAGTGGAAAATTCAGATCTTAAAGAGGTGCCTTTCAACTGAGAGAAAATTTAGTACTGGGTACTAACCCAAGTAGCAGACAAGTCAGAGACATATAAAGTCTGTAATGATACAGTTAATGAGCAAATTGTAAAAGAACCTTCCTCTAACTTTATTGTACCAAAGACTAAAACATGCCTTAATTTCAGCATTGCTGTAGCAAAATGCTATGAACTGAGAGGCTTAAAGCAACACAAAGTGAATTGTTTTAAGAAGTCCTAGAAGCTAACTGGAAGTGTTTCAGTGCTTCCTGAGTGGTGTTACCACAGAGGTTCCAGAAAATATCTGTGCTAGATGCTGTCCTGGCTTTTAGGTTTATTAAAGAAGAATAACAAGCACTTGTAGTGGCATTTTATTTGAATTTTTATCAATAAAATGTTCCTGAAGATCAGAGAGTAAAACAACCCCATGGGATAGCCTTACAGGCCAGGCAGTGGTGACACACACCTTTAATCCCAGTAGCCATACTAGTTTGCCCTAGAAAGCCAGTGGTAGTGGTGCATGCCCTTAATCCCAGTCCTAGAGAGGAATATAAAATGGGCAGAGCCAGCTCTCAGTCTCATTCTGACATTTCCTGGAGGCAGGATCACCATTTTCTGACTGAGATTGAGGTAAGAGCCAGTAGCTGGCTGCTTTGTTTTTCTGGTATTCATGTTGAACCTCAATTTCTTCTCTGAGTTTTTATTAATCGTGCTTCAAGCATCGAAACTTTTCCATCACTTTGTTCCTGCTTCTTTGCTCACATTTACCTTTTTTAACTAAGGAACTAGTCATTCTGAATGAGGAACCCATGGGAGGCTTATTGAAGAATAAACAGCAGGGAAGAATATAGCTGTATTTAAAGTTGACCAAGAACATAAGTGCAGTTAATGAATTGCTTGTTGAGAGAAGAAAAGATACATTAGAGCATTATATACTTCACAATTTGAAGAAATCTTCTATTTTATGCATAATATACTTTTAAAAAAATATGTCAATGAATTTCAGAAAAGCCCTACACTGCCATATTGGAATGAACAATCCTAGATTAAAATGCTAATCCAGATACTTGATCCCAGTTTACTCTAATCTAGTTTACTGCCTCTCTGCCATCCCTGCTGTTAAATGATTGTGCACAATGCCAGCTGGAGTGCCAAGTCCTAAGCACAGTAGTGAAGTCAGTGTTTCACCAACAAGGTTCAGGACACTTCTTCTGCTTTTTGACAGAATATTAGTCAAAAGAAGTGGATCCAAATCTGTAACCAAAGGGGGCAGCAGCTTCCAGGCAAGTCTAAAGGAAAATCATTGCAAGCAACAGTAGTATTGTGGAAAGGCAGGGCCGAGAGATCCAACCAGTTAATGTGAAGGTTGAACACAATGTTCTTCTACAAGACTATGGAGGAAACAAAAAAAATTCCTGACAATGAAGATTATCTCTCATTTAGATGACATTAGAGGTGGTGACATTCTTGAAAAGTATGTGGACTGAAATCGTTGTTGAAATGGCGTCACATGAAGTCGCCCGCTTCACTGAAATTATGAACTATTTCATCATCTGAATAATTTCCATGCCTCCCTTTTATAATAAACTGATGACATCCATCTCTTAAGTTTAGTTCCACTGTACTGTCATAAACATTTCCAAATAAAATAATGTAAACAAAAAATGAATGTGTCCAAGGTGAAAAATGAGTGCAAATCCAAGCAAAATGAGTTCTGCTCTCATCTATTCCCAAAGTAAAGTATTTTATATTATTCTGTCACAAATAGAAAAAATGGGTTAAATTAGGAAATGAGTCCCAATAATGTCAGAAATTGCTATTTATTTGGGGAGAGGTGATGGAGGAGCTGACACAAAGGAAAAAGAAAGGTTGGGGGCTTAAGTCAGCCTACGTTTTTGACTAGCGCTTTCAGATCCCTTCCCCTATGTAAGGAAATCAAAGTCAGATTTCTGATATCTTTCTTTTCCTTGAATTATCTGTAAAATTTCTTATCAGTAGTTATAAAAGGCCTATAATTTAACAGTAACCAAAGCAACCACATATTCCAGAAGAAATGATAAATGAGTCATGTCTTTGAAAGAAAATTGGTGTGTGAGATGAAAAGCAAAATTAAGCTCAGCTCTTTTATACTATCATGAAAATTAAAGTGGCAGATATGACATGTAAAACAATGAAATTACAGATTTAATTTTCTAGAATTTCTAACCATGGTATTTGTATTTTAAAGACAATTTTAAGCCTCATGCTATATACAAGAGCTGCAATTTATAAAATACAATTAAACTGAGTGTCATTTTATTTACAATATACTGCTGTGTATGATTTTTATACACTTTTTTATTCTCACATTATACATGTCAATGCAATATGTTAGTGGAATTAATAGTACATATATAAAATGCACTTAAATCATAACTTGCGTATTTACAACTTATAATTATATAAGAATCATTAGAATATTATTTTCTCCAAACTGAACCAAGACTCCCTGAAAGGTTGCTGTGACCACCACCAAATATTACTTTGCCCAACAAAAATCAGGAAGCAGTTTGGAGAAGAACTATATCCATATTCCCAAATATTGTTAATATTTTTTATATTTAAAGGGAGATAGGCTATAAAGATGGATACTTTGCATTGGTATGGATCTTGGTTTATTGATACAAATTTAAAGTCAATTTTGTTATATATATGTTTCTCCTCTTGATTAAGATATTGTGTTTGTACATTTAAACATGTAATGTATAATTAAAAATACAGGTTAATACATAGTCATCTATAATAGTCAAACTTGTAATCATGTTAGTTAGATTTTTCTAGATGTCCAGAGATGTATTTCAGATGGATAGGCATTCTTCAAACCTTTCAAAGACTACAGAATATGGCATTTAAAATATTTTAAGAATTTGTGGCTTATCATGACAATGAGACACATCTGCTCCTAGCAGCACCAATTACTTCAAGAGGAAGATGGGTATCAAAGAGGCTCCTTATGGAGTTGATTATCCATTTGGGCAAGAAACTGCTCTTGCCTGGACTGCTTAAGTGAACATGCAGAACCCATAGAGAAATTACTTCTGAATTTGCTTAAAGATGAGACCGTACTATGGGTTTCCTGCTTCATCAAATAGTCTGCCATACATTCTGCAGGATACAGAAGAAAGTGACTAACAAACTGTCAATATAGGTAGAACTGTCTTTAAAATGTCCTGATTTGTGGAAAAATCTGCTGGATAGTATGGGTCTTTAGGCTGAAGATGGATGCCCCAATGGTACAGAAGAATGTTGGGTAGCAAGATGTTTTGGAAATGGCTTACAATGAACTTCCTGTTTACTTAAGGAATATTCTATCCTTCTGGAGTTGTTGATGTAGTTAAAGAATTTATAGTTACAGTTTTCCTTAGATATGATAAAAAATAAAGTAGATATAAATTTTGTAACTATAATTCTTGCTTGATGCCTGTTTTGCCATGTAATTTTGCTGTTAAAGATAAAACCTTGCTTTTTTATTTAAAGAGAAAAGGGGAGGTGATGTGTGATTTTCCTCTGTGTGCTGTGAATACCATTGGTGAATAAAGAAGCTGCCTTGGCCTGTTGATAGGGAAAACTAAACTGAATGCTGGGAGAAAGGAGGCAGAGTCAGAGAGAAGCCATGGAGCCTTGCCAGAACTGAGCAGAACTTTACCACATAAGTCACAGCCACATGGCAATACATAGATTAATGGAGATGGGTTAAATTAAGATGAAAGAGTTAGCAAATAAGAAGCTAGAAGTAATGGGCCAAGCAGTGTTTTAAGTAATATAGTTTCTGTGTGTTTATTTCAGTTCCTAGCTGCTGGGAACTAACAAGTGTTCCCTCCTCCAACATTGAACCATTTGGCTTAGCTGTTTACTAGTGGGCAACCATCCTACAAGCCCTGTTTTTCTTTCCAGCTCTGTCTGGGTCTACTTTTATTACAGGCGAACTCAGTGGCTTCATTCTCACGGCTAGCAAACCAGCCAGCGTGTGTAGGAATCATTTTGGTCCACTTCGAAATCTTTGGTTATGAAAAAATGTTCCCTCCATTCATATACTGCACGGGCACCCCCAGGCCTTACACACTGGGAGTCCTGCGACTGTCTCTGTTTTGTGTGGCCCTAACTCTGTCCAGCGCTTCCAGACATAGAAAAGCTCTCTACATGCTCAGCAAGTTCTAAAACAAACATGAAATCTCACTTTTGTCTCCTCTCTGCCCTGTTGAAACCTTTCTAGGATTTCAGTTCCTTCAAGCTCTCCCCACTGATACCTCAGGAACTATAAAGACTACAGAGAACAGTGAACTCTTTGCCATTTTCTCTTTCTATTCCCATTCAGATGTCTTCAATCAAGACATGAATTCACAGGAGAGCATGTCATTTTACTCTGCTTTTAAAGATAATATTCTTCTCTCTTTAGTTTAGTCCTTAGGCTGACTGCATTACTGCTCTCATAGTCTCCCTTGAACATATTTAAAAGTGTAACATGTCACTTTCTGCCCAGTTTCCCTAGAATAATATTAAAGTGCTCCCATGTAGCCACTCAACTTTTTCTTTCCTTTATCCATTCTTTGTAATTTTTTTGTACCAAGTCACAGGCACGATAGAGACTCTGATGAATTGAAGCGATCCAGTCCTTCTTCAGGAAATGCCGGGTCATCCCAGATCATTTTCAGTTACATTAGCAGCCTATTTCTTGGTCTCTGAGACATCTGTCCAAGCCTCCCACAGTCTAGGATTTTTTCAAGACTAATTCCAAAAAGTGTGACAATGTCACAATATTTATATTCCTCCCATATGCCATTAATTTATGGCTTCAAGATGCCAACTCTTAAGCACTGTTCTGCTACCTCCTTGCAGCAGGGTAAATTACCCTTACTTTGTCTCTGCTGGACTTTTTTTTTTTGTTTTGTCTTATCCTCATTGTTTCCTCAAACACATAGTTCTATAATAACTCTATTGTATGTTAATTATCTCATAGAATAATCAACTAAGTGTGAACAGTGTCATTTAAAGCTGAAGAGCCTTAGCGTGAAAATAACATTGGTGTGAGTGCTAGGCGGAAGCTGATGTATTTGGTAAACAACTTGCAGTATCCTCTGTCCCGGGTACTAATCGAGCATGAGGGCTTTTCAGTCAAATCATTAAGTGCATTTAAGGACTTATGGCAGAAGAAGAAGTTAAATTATTTGTAAAGGATGTGGACAATCGGATCCCAAGATTGGAGATGGAGGCTCACTGACCTGGAGATGTAACTCTGTTAATGAGCACTAGGCTTTGATGATCAAGGCCTAGAATTTGTTCCTCTGGCATGCAGATGAAAAGAAAAAGCAACAAAACCAAAACTGAAGAGATAAAAGAAGGTTGAGGATGGGAAGGGGGAGGAAGTAAAGAATTCTCATATCTACACCACATTTACTGCTTTGCTTTCAGGCAAAAGAATAGGACCTTTCCCCTACAGTTTTCTTTAAAACACTGAATTAGTCACAAAGAATTGTCTTTCAGTTTATTATTGTAAATTATTTCCCAACTTTTGCTTTCATTCTTAAGAAAAATGAGTTTTAGTTAGGGAAAATGGTGCCTCGCTGAAATCCCAGCACTTTGACACGAAGGTAGTTAGATTTCTAGTTCTAGACCTAGACCAGCCTGAGCTACATAGTCAAAATGATCTCGGAACAAGGCTGCTACATCTAGCAGTGCAGAGGTGTTTGCTTAGCATGTGCTGGGCCCTCAGATCATTTCCAAGACAAAAACAAAACAAAAACTCAACTAAGACTCATCATGGGTTCCTGTTTGTGAGGGTCAGCCCATCACTGTGTTTATTAAGACAGAAGATTTCTGGAACTTTTTAAAGTTGATCTAATCCTGCGAAAAATCTTTTCAAAAAAGAAACTCTTCTTCAGATTGATAGAGTTTGGTTCACATGAGCAAGAAAAGAATCTGAAATGTCCCTCTACAGAACAAATGTGTTTAGTGTAGCCATAAAGCCACCTTTTGTATAACAGCTGTAGTTATTATAAGAGATTTTTTCCACAAATTTTGCATAAATATAATGTACTCTAACTACTCACCTGTTGAACGCTGTCTTTCCAAAAATATTATTCATTGAACATTCAAAATATTTATTTTTATTCTTTTTTAGTTAAGTTTTATTTATATTATACACTATTCTACATCATACACTACTATAGAATTTTTGAAACTAACTGGATGGTTAGATTTCTAAATTTTTTTTTTTTACTATTAATTTAAGGAAGCCAGAGGGCTAAAACTTCTTCTTTTTTCCTTTACAAGGAAGTTTGTAGTGAAACCATGATTGGGAAGTTGAGTTCCTGAATAAAAAATCTATATTCTCTTATTGCTCATTGATTTGACCCATTGCTTCTTTATCTATTGAAAATGATAAAATTCATCCTGTTTGCAATTGGTAAAATCTTATGTTTTAGGTGACAAATTTAGAACAAAGATAAGAATTTTATAAATTTCTAATTTCTAATGCAACCCCATTATTAAATATCCTTCAAATAACTCCATGACTGGGACCAAATGCTTTACAACAATTCAGCAATTAAATCATAGCGTTCAGGAGAACAGGTTTTAAAATGTGCAACATTTTAGAAATATGGATTCTATAAAATCATAAGTGTTAGGGGTAATGAGATATTTCTGAAATCTATTTGATTTTTTTTTGGGGGGGTTGGTTTTCTTCTCGGACAACTATGCTGACCACATAAGAATGCTCACAGGAATAAGCTGTTAGGATGCCACAACAAAACATGCTTACAAGTCAATTCTAAGCAGTTTGGGGGCTTAAGAAAAAACTGTTTTTCCAAGGCATGGAAATATCCCTCTTTTAGGCAATTTGGACCCTTAGACTTGCTTCCACTGTCCTCACATGACACTGCCTACCTAAATAAATTTGATAAAAATTTAAGACATCTTTCACCTTTAATCAATCATATAAACATTAAAAAGAAACAACATTCTACTTATTCATTATGCCACATTTTTTTATTATGTTGCATTTTATTATTGATAATGCTAGAGAACAGCTGAGCATTTGGGAGTGGTCAAGGTACAAAGGCATGTGCATTAAAATTTCGCTTCCATAAAGTATTTGGGCATTAGAAGCCATCACTTTACTTCCAGGAAACACATCTAATTTTCCCATGGTAAGGAAATAACATGCAGTCTGTGATATTTTAATTATAAAAAATTAAATTCCAAAAAGAAGATTAGAACTTGTAATTCCATCATCATGTGAAAAATTAATATTGCAAAGTGAAATCGCCGTAAAATACATGGAAAATCATGTTTCCTGAAGAAGGATTGTTAATAAGGCTTCTGTTGAGGACTCATGATTGTAAAGTGAATAGATTTTTTTCTCTTACAGATTTTCTACTCTCCCTTGGCCCTCTTCATACCACCTTCAGTGTTTGCTGTTCATATTCAATTCAATCTCCTGTACCAATTTTGGATCCACACCGAGGTAAGAGTAAGTGTGTTTGTGTGTGTGTGTGTGTGTGTGTGTGCTAAAAATTTTATACTAAAACAGCCTCAAGCGATGTCCTAGAAATGTACCAGCACCTGATTTATTGTGTAAGAAAAATCTTAGTCTGCCATCTTTAAGGAGAAACATCTGTTCATTTTTATTCCTTTTATTCTGAATATATATTGCGAAGTTTATAAGATGCAATGAAGCCAGTTGGTCCCAATTAAATAAAATAATTTTTGAACTATTAAGTACCAAAACATTTTAAAACTGTATTTGCTACAATATCTCGCTGTATTACAGTTCATTAAACATTACTCAACAAGAGATGTTGAAATCCATTTCAATGTAGGGATAGAAGTCTGTGTGTGTGTGTATGTATGTGTGTGTGTATGCATGTGTGTGTGTATGAAGATCACTTAAAAATTTACAAAAATTTAGCATTTACAAAAATTAAGAAAATAATTTTGTAATCTTACTTTAATTCAAGAGTTTGTTTTATTTAAACTTGTTCAATTTATTATTAGAGTTTTATTTTGTTTTCTCTAGAAAACTGAATGCAGAAGTTCTCAGTTCTAAAGACTTTCAGTTCCTCAGGCTTGGATGATTGCAGATACATTACTAAGCAACCATTTAGATTATGAACTATTCATCTTCATTTTCTGTTAACTAAAGAAATGACGTAGACTCAGAAATATGGCTACATGAACAGGAGAAATATTTAGAGCATTTACATTTACTGGCAGCCTTTTGAAGTTCTGACAGTGAACACATTGATAGATGGTACATTGTAGTGCACCGTGTCACCAATCATACCTTCACCAGACACCAAAACGTGGCATAAAGAAACATCATCTCATTGTCCGTAGTATCTCATATGCCAACATGCTTGGGATAGAAGCACAGCTACCCCGACTTTGGACATATGTATATTATTTAAAGGTCTGCCATGAAATACTGTTTGTTTTATGATAGTTGAAATATATCAAACAAGCTCATACTACAGCCATCTGAAAGAGTTGTTGAGGCCAGTTCTGACTCTAGAGGTCAAAGACCAAATTTCTTTAAATCAGGAAAGGGAAGTGTTCTCCTGATTTACTTGGAGGGGTTAAAGGAGAGTAGCGTTTTTACAGCGGCTCTGCCCAAGGTCATGCCTTGTTTCAGGCCCAGTATTAGTTAGGATACAGAATAATGGTATCTAAGAAACTACTGCCTCTCCTGTGTCTCTCCAAGAGTCCTTGAGTCAAGGTCCATTTATCTCCTCAGAAGAAGAGATCAAATGCCAGTGGGGGATTATTTAAAGTTCAGTTCCCCTGGCTGCCTGCCTTCCCAGATGAATAGCGATATGTTCGAGCCTGTAAAACGTGCTGCGTGTCATACCTTTGCAGGAACTTAAACAGGCAGAACTGTCTTAGATGGACTGCATGAGAGACAAGACCCATTTAACAAGCTTATAGTTTGAGTTGCGTTATAAGGTATGGATTCATTTCTGACCATTTCTGTGAAATTCAGATAAAATATTTTTACTTGTTGACAAGTAAGAGAATTATTCAGGAGGAAACTGAAAAGGTTGATGCAGTAGTGATTTCTGAAGGAGACAAAGTGAATAGACATCAGGTGGAGAAAATTTGATTTTATTTTTAGTATTTAAATATTTACATACTTAATTTGTGTGGTGTGTGTGTGTGTGTATGTGTGTGTATGTGTGTACACCATGCATGAAACACTTGTGGAAGTTAAATGACTTTCAAGGGAGTTACAGACACTTGTTCGCCATTATTTGGGTGCTGGGAACTGAATCCCAGGCCTCTGCAAGGGTAATCAGTGGTCTAACTTACTCAGCCATCTCTCCAGGCCCCATGGAGGTTAATTTAAAAGAACATGTTTTCAACGTGTGCTTGTCTTACTTTGTTCATTAGAAGTTAACATAATCAAAGTTTCCAAACATGACAATATGTGATTAAAAGCCAAGACCTACAGTGTGGAAGAGAACTTATTCAAGCAAGTTGTTCTCAGACTTCCACATGAACCCTGGGACACAACGGTCACACTGGGGACACACACACACATACACTTAATACATTTCATTAAGTGTTTTTAAGTGTAACCACAGAGTAAAGGTAGAAACTCTCTATCAGTCTATCAAAATGTGCACATTCAGACTGAAGAACTGTTAGCTTCTTGCTAATATCCTCTGAGCTTCCTGAGCACTCACATATCCAGCATTAGTGGAGTGACTCTCTAGTTGAGGAAACCTTGTGTGAACTGCAGTCATTCCAGTGTTGGCCTTGTAGCCTGGTCCATTGGGAACAACTTTCTTCTCAACCATCCCTAAGTTCTGCTTCTTACAAAAGAGGAAGCTGGTTCCTTAACACAGTGGTTTGTATGAAAAGAAAAAAGTCACTTCTGTCACATTGAGCACAAAACATTTAATAGAATATATATCAAACAAGAATGAAGTTTGATATTTTTGTTATTGCTTCACGGTGGACTATTTTAGCAAAGAAACAGGGGTAACTTAGTCCCACATTTTTTTGTAAAGTTACAAAAATCCTTGCAGTTGTTTTGACAGTCTGTTCTGATACTTTAAAGTCACTCCCCATAGCTTTGAATGTCCTGTAACTTGCTGTGTAAATAAGGCTAGACTGGAATTACAGAAATCCACCTGCTTCTGCCTCCAGCGTGCTGGGGTTAAAGGTGTGCACCATCATGTCCAGCTGTTGCTGAGTTTTTAATATCTAAACATTGACTTCTCATGAACCGCGGGTGTTGACAATTCTGAAAATGCATGGCTACAGCACAAGAAGAATTTTAAATTCAAACATTATACTTCAAAGTTATAAATGTCCCTTTCTTAGGCAGTACGTGTTCAAGGTTTAGCTGCATCATCATAGGATGGCGGTAATCACCTGAATTAATCTAGAGTGCTATAATCTCTTACCATGCTCGAAAGGAGGAATCCTACACACAATTAATTTTAATGCTGTGATATTGAAGATTGGAATCATGATTTGATGGGTTTTTATAACATTCAACTGAAATTTTTGAGGAATGTTAATTCAGCCTTGCTTCTTTGGCTTAACTTTCCTGTATTGTTTTGTTAATTCGTTTCCTTTAGTCTGTCTTTTGTTATCATGAACTCTGAAACATGTTCTTCTCTAATCTCCTTTGAAACTTTTAGAGTTTTAACTTTCACCTTGACGGCTACATTACCCTTAAACTTCTGTCGTTTAGGCTTATGACACGTGGTTTAGATCAAGATTCACTGTGAATCCCCAGCAAAGAACCCAGTGCTATGCAGACATGTGCTCATTACAACAGTTTTATGTATCAGATGATCCTAATAACTTCCTAAAGAAGGAATTGACTATCATGTTAGTTCTGTTTTGGCAATTCCTTTCATTATTTATTCATATTCCTTTACATAAACCTCTCACAGCAAGAGTTATGGTGTAGGTTGCAACATTTGTTGACATTTCTCTATCAGATTTTTGAACAACAATGTTAAAGAAAACGTCTATTTCTTTCTTTTTTTCGTTGTGTCTGATTATTGTTTTGACTTTTCTTGATTTATCACTTTGGCAAGAAGCTAGAGTGGAAGATAAGAGCTAGAAACAGTTACAGGTGTATTCTCTTGGCTTGTGTCCTTGCGTCTGTTTTTCTGTGTAATTCTCTCTCTTGCCTTCTGTTAATAGTGGCTGTTTTAGTAATGACTTAAAATCTTTTTATGCCATATGTGTGTATGCATTCTTGTCTCTTTGGGCACTACACGTGGAAATGTGGATCCAGAGTTGAGGATGCGTTTAACTTGGATCAGCAGTAACACTGATCTAATGGAAAGCAGGTTGTCCCATGACAACATTCAAGATTGCCTAAGGTTACCTTGCAAAATCAAAACTGATATGGTTGAGCAGACTGTCAATGTTTAACTAAACATACCCTTTGCCCCCAACACCCTTCTTCCTCTGAGCACTTAAAGTTCTTGTTAGTAATGCAAGATAGGTTGAAATGGATAATTCCTACCTTTCCAAATAAAGATTTTGATTAAAATCTTTTCTGACCTTTTCAACATCACTTTTATTTGGAGTGGGTGGGACAGCCAATGTATTGTAATCACCCCAACGTTGAATTCTGGTCTAGGACTCTTGTTATAATTATTTACAACCGTTCTATCTCCTCTCTATCTTTTGAATAGTGTTCTTAAGTGCACTAATTATGCACATCATGTAATTTTCCAAATATTATATTTATTGTAGATTTAGTATGTCAGTTTTCTTTTAGAGAAATCAACAAAATTAAATAATAAATCTAGTATATAAGTCTCCAATACTTTGTTTTATCTGTACTTTTTATTATTTTTTTAAGATTTTATTATTAATTAATTTATTTGTTTATAAACATTTCCACTTCCTCCCCTCCTCCCCATGCCCTCCCATTCTCCCCACTCCCTCTCCTCCTCCCCCCCCTCCTTCCTCTCCAGTCCTAAGAGCAGTCAGGGTTTCCTGCCCTGTAGGAAGTTCAAGTTCCTCCCCTCTCCCTCCAGGTCTAGGAAGGTAGGCATCCAAACAGACTAGGATCCCAAAAAGCCAGTACATGCAGACAAAACAAGACCCAGTGCCATTGACAATGGGCTTCTCAGTCAGCCCCCATGTCAGTCACATTTAGAGACTCCGGTTTGATCACATGCTCGTTCAGGCCTTGGTGAGCTCTCATTCGATCAGTCCCCTTATTATTTTTTTAACATCAAACTTCTTTCCAGTATTACTTTCTCTCTGTCTGAAGAAGTCTGCTATCTTTTCTAAATTTGTATGCACCAATAAGTTCCTTTATCATAACAGCTGATATTTGAGTTGAGTTCAGAGGGAAACTGTAGAGAGATTCTGGGTTCTTTTGTCCCAAAGAAATGTACTGAACAGATGGATAACAGCAAGCAAATGGGAGGTTTTGTTACAAAGGAAGGGAGCAGGGAGGACCCCAAAGGTTTAGTAGCGCAGACA